ACAGCCTCACCAACAATTCATTGACTATGTACAAAATATATATGATACCATAGATTGATATCATGAATGTAAGACCTTAAGGTATTCTTCCTGTATAAATGCTGGTATTTTATATAATCAATTTATATACTCACCCATCTTACAAGTGTGACTCTAGGCAGCCCACATAGAATTAAACAAAACACAATAAGATGGAAAGAAAAAAAATGAAAAAAATTGAAACTGCCAAATATTATCTTATTGTTTCCCTAAATCTTGTATTAGCCCCATGGTGCATTCACTAAGAGTCTATTTCAGACAGGATCTATTTTTAAAACAGAATCTTCAGGTACTATGAAGAAAAAAATAACACTAATTTTTCAGAATTAGGTAGAGGTCTGTTTCCAATCTCTATCACATTTCTATTTTTTAATATTGAACCAGTAAAATCATGGCACTTTATGTTCTAATTTTCGCTCGGCTTTCTCTAGACTGTAAGTTATTGAGTTTTTATAAAAACCTTTTATTCAATTAAGGCTTCTTTTCCCCATGATTCCAACAGTGTGGCTCTGTCTTGGTTAACATTTGAGTATATTTTCAGTGGAGTTAAGGAAGAGATCTCTGGAATGAGTCCTGAAAAATTATTTATCTGCATTCAGCACATTATTTGTGTGAAAATATTGTTGAGTTTATTCATTTTATGAAGGCATGTGTGTATGGGGAAAAAAAAAGATTTAAAAAAAATATTTAAACTGTTACACAAGGACAATGTTTTCTGTCTCAACCCATTGTATTGTTGGATGTTCCATTATGAAAGGGTAACATCTGCTAACTGAGCTGCTTGGTAACATATTCTTAAAACAAGATACATCTCATCTTTCTTTGTTTGGAGATAAATATAAAATATTTCTTTTTATTCTACTGATTTGAATTAGATTGTAATAATACAATTTGTTTTTCTTAATTGGTAAGAATTTTATCATGAATATCTTTTAAAAGAGTTTGAAATAGATATATCCATTTTGGGAGTAACCTTTATTGCTGTTATATGGCTTAAAATACTAAGGTAACTCTAGTTCCATCTTTTCATATCCTTTTTAATTTTTTTTTCAAGCAGGGCCATTATATTTATTAAATATATTTAAATTCCTAGGTATTTAAAGGTGTTATATTGAAGAGGGATGTCTAAAATATTGGATTTTATTTTATTTCATTTCATTTTGCTTATGAAATGCAAACATTGTCGATTTTTTTAAAGAACTGTTCAAGCAAATATTTGAATGAATTCTTGAAGTTGTTTTTTTAATAAACTGGGAAGAATGTTTATTATTCTTTAAGCATTAAGGAAGGTCATAGTCATATCATTCAATAAATAATTTTTGTCTTCGTTTGTTCAAGTTTGCAAGCCTACAGTTTTGAACTTGATGTGCTTATACAGTACCATGTCCTTTTCAGACACATGCAATTTTGGGAGAGAACATCAAGTCTTATTACAGTCCTATGTAATCTATCATGTTGTCATTCTCAACTTTTTTGCTAATAGGTCTGATACAAAAGTTGCTTCATCTGTTACGATCTTCAACATCTACCTGAGATATTTTAACATATTTTTAAGATATTTTCTCAATATTTTTCATACTAGCAGGCATTTTTAGGCAATCATAAACACAACTAGTTCTCTGAGCAATGTCTGTTGTCTGTCTTATTAGCTGAGGGACAGTCACTCCCCAATTATATCAGCCCACCCCATTAGATCTAGCAGAGAAGGCATGCTGTGGATACCATCTGCCAGGGACCTACATTTGGTGGGTCCCAGGAGGCCGGCCTTCTCTGCTGTGGCAGCCACCTTATGGAGCTTTCTCCCCCCCCCCCCCCCCCCCAATATTAGCTCAGCTCCATCCCTTTTGTTCTTCTGGAAGCCCCTCAAGACCTGGTTATGTCACCAGGGAACTGGAGATTTGCCTAGATGGCTCCACTATTGAAGTGGATGTATTTATTCTCTCTCCGCCTGGGTTTTGTATATATATTTTGGTTATAATTAATCTCTATTTTTATGTTGACTTTTTATATTTTTAATTTCTTGTTTTTATATATGTAATGTTTTTAATTGATTATTGTATGCTGCCCAGGGTCACTTATTATGAGGTGAGCAGCTATATACATTTGATAAATAAATAAACAAATAAGGCTTTAAATTGTTGGTTAATTCTTTCAGAAATACCTGATAAATCTTTTATCAAGGTAAATGACTTCCCCATTCCTGTTTCGGGTTCTCCGTGAATTCTTTAAAGAAATGTTTGATTGGGTTGGAATCCTCTTTTAAATAATAAGATGAGTTAAGAGCTGTGGTTTGCATTTTGGTTTTGTCTTCTTCTCCTCTACTGGAGGATGACTACCAGTTACTTGTTTTTGGCTCTGTCAAGTATGTCTGATCCATTTATTGAATTATTGATTCTAAAGCACCTCTACTGGACATGTGTGTTTCTTGATTGTTTTGTGCAGTGCAGTGCAGTGCAGTTGTCCAACAAAGTCGAAACAAGGTATTCAGTTATCAAGGGGCTTTTCTGCACTGTACCCTTAATGTACTCCTGTCCTTTGCTCATACTGGCTACCCTCTAAACCAACTTAAGAAAATCCTCTCCAGACTGAGGTATTTTGGCAACAGCTTGGAAGCTATTCAATCCAGACAGCAGGCCACAATGTCCTCCCACTGAACAATTCATCTGCTACCATTCCTGAAAAGCAATTGCTAGTAGCATTCCTTCTTGTAGGCAGGCTTTACTGAACATATGTACTTTTATGTGTGTGTGTGTGCGCGCGCGCGCATGTGTATCTGTAATGGTCTCTGAGAATATCCTTGAGAGACAGGAGGAAGAAGAGCCTCAGGCTGGGCAATGGTCAGATAAGAGACGTCTCAGTCCACAGAAGGAATGGGGATGAAGAAAGCGTCTCAGAGGGGACCCTCCCTTGTTCGAAGGAAAGGAAAGGAAAGGAAAGGAAAGGAAAGGAAAGGAAAGGAAAGGAAAGGAAAGGAAAGGAAAGGAAAGGA